GTTAGCACCTCGCTTTGAAGTATTCAGCCGTAATAATAAGAGCATTCATTTGGCGTGATGAAGAGGCTTCTTAAGAAATAGATTAAACTAATACACTGCAAAAATGAGGTTATTGAGGCTTCTGTTAGCCTGAATAAGGGAATGGGAATCTTGATGTTTGGTTTTTGAATGCTCGTAGGAAGAACTAGTCCATATAGAGGATCCCGTTAACGAAAGGGATTTTACAAGTTATCAGTCATTTGAGTACAATACAAACAACTGTGGCTGCCCAACCCTTGAAAGGTTATCGAAATTCACAAGTCTTTGCTATAAGCGTTGGAATGCACTTTGTGTGTATTCTCTTCACGAATAACGAATCAACTTTCGACTAGAAAGTGAAACGAACCGAACAGCCGTCTTTTTTCCCAAACGAGACTGACTGAGTCAGTATCGGACCTTAGCTCCTGATCCAGGACGACTCCAACGTGGTCTTAACTGACTGGAGAAACATTGAGGCAATACGTGCCGCGGCTTATTAGCGATGTATTGTCATTCATTGTGACATACATCATGTTCACTGGCAAATTTATGGCTCATTATTTTGCCACCGAGAGCCTCATCGGAGCTGATGTGCTCAGCAGGACTCCATTTTATAAAAATTTACACAAGAAGATTCTGGTTGGTGACGTTGTGATGAGAGAATTTGACTGGTAAGACTGACTCCAAACTTCGAAAGGATACGATTCTTAGAAAAATATGGGATGATGCTAAGGCGTCACAAATTAATGCTGCTTACATGCATCATTAAGAACACACACTTGAAAAGCATGTCACCCTGTTCGCTTCCAACTCATTGGGACGGAAAATTGTAACCTGATAGCGTACCATTATCAATGTGTAAAACACCTGTTTGCTTTAGATGTGCGGTCGAATCCTGAGCTCCTCCACCACACGAGCACCTTTGTCCCTATTGAGATTCATCAAATGGGCGTAGATAGATCGGGCATGTGACACCTTAGTTAGCAGATTCTGACTATCACCACCCGAAACACTCGACCGGGGTTCGGTTTTTACAGCTGGTGAATTTGATCTAAAGTGCGATTCTCGTCCTAACCATGTATAGACATTTTCTGCTAACTAGTTTTTTTATACTTTGGAATAGTCCCCAGAATATTAATGAAGATGAAATTGCATATGCATTTGCGCTTCCCTGGACCCAACTCCACCGTCCGTGCAAGCGTACAATAAATATGCGAGCCAGTTGTCTGGTAGTTGACCATTCAGTTTAAACTCCAGCCGAAAGCTGCCACCGTAACGTTGTGGTCGGTCTTAAGTGCCACACCAATCTCACTAGCTACAACGACCATAACTTTGTTCCGCGAGGTGCAAGCACGCCGGGAACAGCCAGACCACGAGCAGTGAAACGCCATACTACTGCTAATCGTACTACTTTTCTGCTATGGAAGGGTGAACGCAGCAAAATATTACCCTTAGGCGCGTGAATGTCTGGGCGTGATGGCCCAGTGGTTAGAGCGCAGATATACTGACCGGAGGTCCGTGGTTCGAACCCGACTTCTCAAATTCCCCTGTCTAGGCTTGGACAACCTGGCAATATCCCAGCCCTTGTGCTTCCTTTGGGTGGCATGGCAGCCAGGCACCGAAAGGGTGTTAGAGCTGAACGGGTTTTATCATTATGGAGATGCAAGCAATCACCTGGAGTGAAGGTAGATCTAGAGATGATGAAGAGACTGACGCCAAGACGGGAGAAATTTATCCGACAGCAAATTCTCTGTTCAGTGGACTTTTTCCGAGATCACTCAGTGTATAACTCTTGCCCATTGCTCAAGTTTATTTCCCATTGGACAGTAATACAATACAAACTGACTGGATCGTGGAAATTTCTTCACATGCCAACCTAATGCCGTATTACCCATTGATTGTGATTTGGCAAAACCTAGAAGGACAACCGCCTTTTGAAAATAGCTCTCACAGGCTTATGCTCGTAGTAAAGTCATCATCGACAGCATAACTTCCCTGTTCAATAGTGGTGCTCCTCTGCTGCAGCTCTTAGTAAAGAGGGTGCAGTTTATTATTTTCCGTCAACTACAAACATCATTATGGGGCGTAATCACTTGCTACACAAGGCCCTTGATGGAGTTTTTTATCGTCAGCGTGTAACTTCCTGAAGAAACCGCTCTAACTGGGTATGGGGTGGCTACCTGTCGAAAGAGCCACTGTAATGCTCAGTTCTTCAAAAGAAGTGTGNAACCGCTCTAACTGGGTATGGGGTGGGTACCTGTCGGAAGAGCCACTGTAATGCTAAGTTCTTCAAAAGAAGTGTGGATTGATGATGAGATCAGTTTAGCCGCTTTTCTGGCCACAATTTGAGATTCAGAATCAGTAGATGACATGCTTTCGTTTGATCCAGGAAATTTAGGCATACCCGTCTTAGTACTACAAGTGCTATCTTGCGGTACTGATAGGCAAATGGGGGCTTTCATCTTAGTTGCGAATAGATGGATGTTGTGGATGAACGACTGACCCTCACTCACACTCAGTTCTCATCCCTCAGCTGGTTCGGTGAGATTGTCAGTGAGGTTGCCGCTTATATAACTATTGTTCTGTGTGTGGACCACACTAAGTAAAACAAACGAAATCAATTCACAATATTTCTCAATTTCATTACCTTTATCGAATTGCTAGGACTCTGCTTCCCGTTACCTCCCTAATACGTGCACAAAAACCTGGTCCGTTCATACACTCCATGTATTCCACATTTCACCTTTTCAATTGATCCTGATGCAATGGTTCGTAGTATCTATGACGTGGAAGTTGCACTCAGCTACTCGATCAACCAATCAAATGAAGACGAGAGTCAGTAAAATATTTTGAGAACGAAGATACTGAGACAGTGCATTCGCAAAATCATCGTCTTGAGCGATGGGTCGACACTTCAAACGACGATCCCAGTGTGCTTCATTGCAATCTCAGGGAAAACCTAACAAACTTGAATGAAACATCGAAATCAACCAAACATCAGCAACAGAAATTCAGGGTGAGGCAACATTTCCCCAAGACGACGAGGCCTAAGTGCTGGATCGTTTCTCACTTTCCATTTTTCAAAGGTGGTGAAGTTCGGGTAAGCCATCTGACGACCTTACTATAGAAGATGTGGAACAGGGATAGAATGCCAGTGGAATCAAGAGTTTCGTTTATGATTCTAACCTTCAAAAAAGGACACAAGGACGTCATGCAAAAGCCATCGTCGTATCAGCATGGTATCCGTGGCATCCTGGGTGCTCTCGGGTATTGTTTGGCGCAGGTTGATCGATTATCAGGAGAGATGTTTGTGAAAACCAAGCTGGGTTTTGCCCTGTTTGAGGATGCATCCGTCATACATTTACCTTGAGACAAGTTCTTGGAGAAAGCAGCTCTTTCACACGCCCCACAGTGGTCATTTTCTTTGCTCTGAAAGCTGTATTTAACTCTCAATCGTCAGAAACTTTGGCGGTGTTTGACGACCAAATGTATCTCTTCTAAATTTACCTCTTATGGAGGTACTGTATGCGAACTTCTGTGGGCACGTATCTGTTTACGGTTTAACACATCCAGTGGTGTGAGAAAAGGCTGCCCTCTCACGATTCCTCCTCAACTTTCCTATTGCTGTTTGGAACTGCTCTGCTTGCCTCTGGAATCTGGGGATAGTAGAGCTTCCAGGGCGTTCGACCATAGACATTGAGTATGCGGACGATATTTCTCTCTTTGGTTTCTGTCATTCAGAGATGCAAGTCATTCTAAATAGCCTAAATAGTTTTACCGTACGGTTTGGTATGGGCTTCACAACTGAGTCTGAAGTAGTGCTGCAAAGCTCGGTGGGATCGAACACAAACCTCATGCTTGCAGACGAACCGATTGACGTGGTAGATAAATCCTGTTTGCTTGGGCATTTGTATATGTCCTGGTGGACTGCTTGGAGACGTGACCACTTCTTGAATCAGGAGGGCCAGGGAAACTTCTGTCAACACACGGCGCCGATGTGGCATCAGTTTGTCTGTCAAGGCAGGGTATACGCTGCGGTGGTGCCTTATGGATCATAAACCTGGCCTCTGCTCGCAGACAACATACGAAAGCTGTCAGTGTTTTACCATCGGTGTCTGATGGGAAAATCGGATTAGTAGTGCTGACGTACTCCAGATGGTTTTGTGAAAACCGAAGTCTTTCACGATAGATTAATTGCTCACGATTCATAGGTTATGTATGTCAGGATATTTACTCCGTATACGAGAGGGCCGTCTGCCTCGGAGAATTCATTTCGCTCAACCCTATGCTGAGTGAAAGCAATCTAGAGGGGTACAGTGTATGACCTGGTGACGAAGTATAAAAGCACGAACAGGTCAGTCTGGTTGACAACTGCCGCCCCCTGGACTTGGTTCACCAACGTTTAATGACAGCAACTTACGTGGCTGAGTCACTCAGTTGGTGGCGCTCCTGACTCAAACCATCAGTGCGTTGCCGCCAAGTTTACCCTATTCTCAGACAATTAGATTGACTGAACATCGGTTAACTCAAATTCCTGGCTCTACCTTTCTGGCCCCATGTTTTTCGGTGACAAAATATAACAGCCGGAATAACCTTTTTTGGTACATGGTATATAGAAAGCTCAGCGACCGACTTGGCAACTAATAGTAGTGCGAACCGCGATGGTTGTTGGTACGTCGAGATTTTGGTAGCTCGGTTGCGTTTGCTGCACCTAAACTGCGCACTGATGATGTCTTCTCTTAAGTTAATTGCCAGGACCGACGAACGGATCAATGGCCACATGATCAACCACCAATCACGGTTACTCTCAGGCACGTGCTGGTATACTGAGGGCTGGTAGTTATGGCGTAATCCCCTGGCGTTATCTGGGGCGACGGTTTATTTTATTCGATAGGTGTGTATTCCGTAACCCCTCTGAGTTGAGAGTTTGCTTCTACCCTTTGCACACTTAAACTCACATCAATTGTTTTCATTCAATATAGCCCTCTTACTGTTTGCTTGTTCCAGCCACCAACCACAAATTTCGATCCGCCTCTGTTGCCCAACTGATGACGCATGTGACATTCCAGAAGGTTTTTCATAGCTTAAAGTCCGTACTCAATGGCACCACGAACTGGACCAGTTTGATACCGAACGAGTGGATTGATCAGGCACTGAATACCCCAGGCTCAGCTTACGTGATTGCTTTTGTCTACTGGCTACGGCACCCTGTTCTTCTGTGTTTTCTTCTACCCACTCTTCTGATTATATTCCTTTATTGTACTGTTCTTGTCATTCACTTATGCCGGCTACGTTACTGGCTCGTGCGTCAGTACAACCGATGGTGGCCGTCTCCGGTTCATACGGATCGTCGACTCAGTTACGTATCCCTCTGTCGGGCTGATTTAGCCTCTTTGGCTCAGTTGGCAAAACGTGTGATTGCTGCGATTTGGGATGCACATGGTCGTATATTTCATGCATACGAAGTCGTCGGAATGGATCGGTTACCAGCCACTGGACCTGCTTTTGTGGTGTACTACCACGGGACGTGTCCTTTCGATGCGTACTATCTACTCTCGCGATACTGCATTGAACATGATCGGTAAGACTTTCTACACACGCCTATCGAGTCACTATAATTTACTCGTCCTCACATAAGGACCTTTCTCATTCCTTAGGGACGTTACTGTTGTTTTAAACCAAGCCAGTGTCCCGTCAGGCCTTGATGGTCTTCTGAGCTTCGATGAGAAAAACAGATTGAGTAGACACCCCTTGAACATTTGACGATGTCTGGTTGCCTCGGAGGTCGCTGGACATTTTTCTGATAGTCTCGGATTTAAAAGTATTTGTTGGAAAGTAAGTGATTTCTTCCAACAGACTGGCACAAATAAAAGATCAAGCCCATTTACTGATCCCTTTGGCTGATGTTCCAAACAACTGTTTCGCGTGATGCTTTGTCAAGGCACCAGGATGCATCACACAAAAGATTTTCTTATTTGCTCTTACGACTGGTCGGTTAGAGACAATCTGCAAGTACCGAATGTTGTTCGGCTGGTCTGCATCTGGAAATGGCCTTAAACTGAAACGTTCCGAGTTTTTTAACATTCGGTACCCTCACGGATGATTTCAAGGATGCGCAGGCGCTGTCTTTCTTAGCGAAATCAGCGTTACCAAGGTCAGTCTACTTTTTGATATATTTTATCGATATATCGTTTTCAACTCGGTGAAGATTCCAATTTTAGACGCACATCTACGGATCTAAATGAGAGACTGAACGCTGTGAATATCAAAGTTCTAGGAACACCCTCCAGACGGTACCTGGAACTGTCATATAGGAATGGTTTATGAGCTTTCTGATATCTATTGGTGATGAGTTTCTATTACTCAACGGCTCACTGGGCAAACTAACAAAAGACCTCGTGTTGAAGTTCCAAAGGCCTTTAGTCTTTCCATGAATGACTGGAAACTGAAAGCTCTGTTCTCAGCGTTTCGGTGAATTAGCATTATTTATGATTGACCACTGGATCATCCGTTTCCATTCTGATTTTATCCTGCCCGTAGCTTTCCCATAGCTGTGGTTGATCGTTTCTTGTTTCGTCTCCCGGGGATGAAATACGTTCTAGACTTGGTTGGTGCAATCGAAGGTACCGTGGAACAGTGTGCTGCGTATTTAAACCCATCAATGCGAGATGAACGTAAGTTGTGCAGTTATAGTGTGTTGTATATCCATCCGTATACTTGCTCATTTCTATAGACTAGCTTCAATGGCCTGATTTGCTTACCTACTTGGTCTTTCACACTGTGGTAAACTTCGCTCAAAAGTTAAGTGCTAGGCACACATAACGGACAACGTTTGTTCTGGTTTAATTCTCGATCGATACTGCGATCCTAATCGTTTGTTTACCTGTCAACTGGAAGACACCTACGGCACAACAACCGTAATGAATATTCTGCACATAATCATCTTGAACTCGCCATGGCGACGTCACCACATCTACATACTATCGTTTTCAATCAATAGTCTGACTTTCTAGGCGCTTTTCCTTCGCTGATCGTGAAAGGATTCTGTGGCGCTGCCAATAGCTAATCGTGTCTTGTTCTCAACACAGGCAGATTACTTTTGGCTTTGTTCCACAGCACATGGCTTATTAATGGTCAGCGCATACAACAAAACAGCAACTACGGCCAGCTTGTTCAACCGTCTGATCAAAAGCAAAAAGGATGGTTTGATTGCAAGCGCAGGGGATTCTTAAGAAAACTTTCACGAATCCTGTCAAAACGCTCTGTTGTCACTGTTTATTCTATCTCACTGGTGAGCACAGTGGACTATTTTGGAGGCGAGTCATCCACTTTTGAATACAAGGAAGACCCTTTTGGGTGCCAAAGCTAATCGTTGTTACAACAAGACCTAATTTTAGCAGACTATGAAGCTTGTGGAAGGCTTTACGATGAATATTTCTAAGTTTCTATTGAGAGAAAGGTTTGTGGATTTAATGCCCTCTTCTTCACGAAATCCTTTCGTGAGAAACCAGAATGCATTAACGACGGAAAGGGTGAGATGGCTCAGTGGTTAGAGCGCAGATTTGCTGACTGCAAGGTCCGTGATTCGAACCCGACCTGTGCCTCTCGACTTTCCCTGCACAGGCTTGGGAAACCTGGCAGTATCTCGTCCCTCGTGCTTCCTTCAGGTGACATGGCAGCTAGGCACCAAAATGTTGTTACTGCTGGTCAATCAGAACCAATCAGACCCCTCGTTTTACCGTCTTATTCTACCCGGTTGTCATCCTTCGTTCTATCCACACGAAATTTCTTCCATCATATCCTACGCATATACAAACGTGCGTCGTGATCCTCCACACTGTCCTCGGTCATTTATAAGACTGTCATAGATGTGAAGTGATACTCAAGATGCGGGGGAAGCACTACAAGTGAAGCCAACGTCCCAGTCTACGTTTAAAAAATTTTCATCTGTCCCTTAATACGTTGTCCCAATGTTACTTTCCTCGGAATGAGACGGCGAACGATACCAAACCGAGAGATGATTTTCTTAGTTTGCTGTGTGAAAACTCTCTCTCTCTTAGGGTCAGAGATAAGCTAGTCTACTGCTGTTCGAACAGTAGAGGGCACGAAGTCGCCGCCATCGAGCTCTGCTCGACGTCAACGTTGGAAACTTTGGAAACGTTGGTAAACTTTCCTCTGCTTGCAGACATTTGGAGTTCACAAACTTCACGACGTAATTAGTGTGGTAAGGTTCTTCTAGTTTTCCAGTTTTTTTTATTTTGTCTATCAACTTTTAAGCTCGTGCAGTTAACCACTCTAAAATAGGCCTGCTTTAACCACTTTTAGTATTTCTACTCGGTCATCTGGTTCATCATCGACAGCGTGATATCAGTGTTCAATGTAATCTCTTACTATGATGACGGAGCATTTACAGTCTTGGAGCCAAGCTTGGTGAACAGTTCACCTGCCTGTTGTTTAACAGCCAGTCAACACACCCGAGCTACCAATATTTCGACATATTACCACTGAGCATGGTACCAATGGATATTTGGGTCGGCTATCTATTTTAGGAATGTGAATCTTCATAGGGAGCCAAAATGATGGAGAAAAGCAGTGGCATCAGGGGGATTTCTGCGCCATATTACTGTCGCTGCTAATAAGTCCACTTTTGAATCTGGGAATAGTAAGCCATCAATTCGATCGAGATTAATTTTTGTCTCAGACGAGTGATCTTCGTATTTTTCCTTTCTAAGTATAAACTTGATCTCGGGAGTAAACTGTATCTGCCCTTCCAGTCTGTGGAGGCAGTCTCCAATGCCTTTCTATACAGTGGACGCTGCACACAATTTTTAGCCAATTTCAACCCCCAATTATCAGTAGGTTTCAGTCGTGTTTAAACGAATCGACCGCTTGAGTCCCGCTTCTTTTTAAATATCTCCCAACTACCTACCAATTGACTTGTGATTTTTACTTGATTTCAAAGGAACTGCTATGCGATTGAACGATGACAATCCCAATGGATGCGTTCTGCTTCTGGCTCCAGGTGGTGTCCGTGAGGCACTTTTTGCCGATGAGTTCTATTGCACAATATGGGGCAAGCGATATGGGTTTGCGAAAGTCGCCATTCTAGCTAAGCAGGTATGTCGTGAATGCTTATTTATACCTGTGAACTTTTGCCAGTGATTCCGGTAAGTTCGTCAGTCTGCCTGTTGGACTGTGTACGAGCTACCACCTGTATCTGTGGGGTTCTGCGAAATACTTCACCCTGCAAGCATCCTCACAACTGAATCTCTGTTACTGAAATTTCTAGTCATCCGGTTTTAGGAAGCCCAGTGGTCGTTCAGAATTACTCCTTTCTTCAGGATCTCCACCAAAAGTTGACCATTGGAATATACTCAGTTGTCCGACTTAAAGTACCTTCTTTTGATTGATATCTCTAGATAGCTCAGAAAACTTTGGACAATAGTGGTCGTCGGATTGGAGTGTCACTGTGAATCAGAATGCTTAGCGCACACGAAACTGCTGAGAGGTCATCATTAGGGAAAAATGAAAAGGTGTCTTGTGCTAGTCATCTTCAAGGTTGAAACAACCTCACACCTCAGTGATCCAACTGGTCCTGTAAGCTAAGACACTATGACCGGCCAAAATGGATGCCTCTGTGAGAACTTGTCCGTCAGAATTGATCTGTATCCTAGCGTCGCATTCCCTATAACCAAATATCTGTATAGCGACTCCTTGTCATCGACTGCAAAGTCAGTGTCACAAGAATGGTCTATTTTTTTCAATAGCGCCCCTTTTTGTTCATACCCATCATGCATCTCAAAGGAGGCACAGAGATCTACCTGGCTGCCCAAGCGTAGACAGGAGCAATGGAATGGTCAGAGTTGGTTTCGCTCCACGAAACCCCCTCGTCAGTAGTTTCGCCCCACCAAGTTACCTTGAGCTCAGGGCGAGTAAAAAAGGAAAGTCCAACTCAAGCACTCAGGGGGCCTACACCTTTGAATATGTACTCGTACTATCCGGATAGAAAATGACGCCATCAATGTTGACGCCATATGTTGAAACAACTCCAGCCAGGCACAGGGAGGATGTGCACTGTAATGCCAATTTGAGCATTATGTAGGAATCTCTAATACGTCCGAATTGCATTTTCTGCACAAACTTTCGAACCACATGGTCCGGACGTCTCGATAAGTTTATTGCACATTGCAAAATCCAAAACAAAGTATTTCACGTGAGATTTTTTAGCGGTGCCAAAACCACTTGGTGTGTCGCTCTTCGTGATACCGGATGTCATCGTCATCATCGTCGTTGGCAGCACATCACGTGTTCAACACAGATTTGAAAGCCTTATTGTGAAGAAAAGAATAAGTGTGGAGGGAGAAGAGACCCAGCGCTAGCCTACCATAATCATTTATAGGCGCCCACGCTTCCAAACACCCACTCAGACAACCTGACAAGAACGCCATCGAAATCGATTGGCATCCACATCTTGCAGCTTGTCTAATCAGGCAAAAGGGGGATCACGTGGACTGCATCCTGGAAGGCGGGTCGCACCTACAATACCCAAACAGTCCGTAGTCATTTTCATAATTACATACCAGATTAAAGTTGTCCACCTCTCTCTGTTTGAGTCAATCGAACTGAACTCGAAAAACAATGCATGGAGAAAACACGGCAGATTCTAGTGTTGAATACATTATTCGAGTCACTTCCCTGTTGCACAACCAAACACTAACTTTCTGATTGTCTCGTTGAGGATCCTCCGACACAAACCTCCATGACCTGTGGTTCTGAGACAGCGCTTATCGAAGACCTCAGGACGTTTCAGTTTTGTTGCTGTCAGAAGCTACGTATCACAACCTGGTATTCACCTCTCCAAATTCAGAGATGTAACGTTTTACCGCCATAGGTTTCTCAAATTAGCGAACGCGACCTGAGCCTTACAGATTTGTGCATTGGCCTCATCTGTTAATCTACAGTCAGGATTTACACGAATTCCAAGATACACAAAAGCATGATTTTAAGCTTTGTGGGTGCAAAGCGGATGCTAAAGCATGACCTGCCTCTGATCAGTTCGTTGGAAGGCACCTTTCCTTCCCGAGGACGACAATTGTATCACCCGTATATTCCAGGCGGACAAGGACTTTTCAACAGCTTTTTGAACATCAATGTTTTGAAGACCTTCCAGCGTTTGTTTCATTATCGCATTGATCGCAAAATTCAGTAGAAATGGAGAGTGTGGATGTCGTTTTCGGCACCATTTTTCGTGCAGAAGCTTTAGGAAATCCCCCTTATACGGTCATATTCTTGTAAATCTGAGAATACAAAGGACTTATTATATTCAAAGACTTTCAGGACATTTTCTGAGCGAAGGTTTTAAGGAAAACGGACCGGCCAGTAGAGTCAAGTGCAGTTAGGAATTCCGGGAATGCCAAAACTGTAGGTCGCTTGCACAGGGCGTTTTCCTGGCACGTAATGGAGTGTTATGGATTTATAAACGCAGCTAGCACGAAATTGTTCTGACTACTCTCTTGTCCATGCTTCAAAAACCACCATAAATAGACGAAGGACAAGTGACACGAAGAGTCTCGTTACCCAGTCATTTGGCACAGTTTTTTCCCAACTAGAAAACAGACAGAACAGACAAGCGCTTACTGATGACTTCATCCTTATCCCTGAACAATGCTGGTGGAAGGTCATCCATGAAAAGAGCTTGGTGGCGCTTGAGACAAGACATGCAGTCGTAAACTTCCGAGATCGTTAGGGTGACTTCAGTTTCACCGTCCAGGGCTACAGTGCAGTTCGGGATCTGTCTGAGAGACGTTCTTCAAGATGGTCTCGTCGATTTAATGTTTGATAGTTTAGCTCACGGGTGATCGTACGTACAGCCTTGAACATTACGACCATGATAATTGCACGTGTCAAGAGAAATATACTCGAGGGGTTGGCGCTTGAGAACATGCAGTCGTAAACTTCCGAGATCGTTAGGGTGACTTCAGTTTCACCGTCCAGGGCTACAGTGCAGTTCGGGATCTGTCTGAGAGACGTTCTTCAAGATGGTCTCGTCGATTTAATGTTTGATAGTTTAGCTCACGGGTGATCGTACGTACAGCCTTGAACATTACGACCATGATAATTGCACGTGTCAAGAGAAATATACTCGAGGGGTTGCCGTTTTCCTTCACTTGTTTGATTTCTTTAGACTTCTGTGTTCACCAGGCTTAACACTCAGGAAGCACGGTGAGTTTTGCAGGGAAACTGGTAATTCAACGTTTTGAAATATGTTCGGGACCGAGGAGAACCTTTCTCCGAGATTCAACGAGCTCAACTGTTCTATGTTGTACCTAGTGACAGTGCACCTGGCAGTGCCGTACCCTAGGAGGAACTCGGCCTAATTCAAGAATGTGACGACCTTTTTCCAGCGTGCACTGGGTACTTTCTTCTGACCTCGGGATCTGCGAGGCTTCCGGTTACTAAGCGACTTGATCGCTCCTTACGTGGCCCTGAACATGGAAGAGTGACGCAACTGCGGACGAGTGCATGGTCAGATGGCATACAAGTGGCAGCAGGTTGTTGATCCACGTCATCGGTAACTGATGGTGATGTGATCCATTTCAGTGGTTGGTGAGCTATTGGTGAGAGGCGGGGCACTATGTAACCAGACGATTCCAATTATTTCAGAAGTTCGTACTGCATAGAAACAATCTGCGGTCAGAATAGATATCAGACAGTTGTTAACCCTTGTCCGCGCATACCGAATCCAGCCCAAACCGACCGCCCACTTGAGTCTAAAATGTTCTAAGTCTGTCCATTTGTGGACACAAATCTTGTGCGTTTCTAGCCACCCGAAACCGATCATTTAAGACGTTATAAAAGTTGTATTTGATGGTATCTGATTTAGAGTGGATTGGGGCGTATACAGACACGGTAAACAGACATTGATCTATTTCCCTCAAATGGGATCCGCTCGCAGGCGTTGCCAGACTAACCACACAGAGGGGACTATGAACAGGCATCTGTTCAAACAATAAGCATTCCTCTCTGTGACCTAGAACGATGCCGCCCCTTGCACAGCCTGTTGCAGTGGCGTCTGGATCGCTGGAGGTACACAGCTGGAAGCTGGATAGTGGTAGAAGAGTCAACCCAACGACTTTGTTTGGATCCCGAGATCTTGTTTCTCTTCAAACGAGTCTAGTGTACGAAGAAGGACAGAGTGCAAACGTTAAAAACAGCTTGGTAAACATCGTTTTCGAAACGGTTTGGTGACAATCGGTAGATTTATTGCTGGGCAACGTTTCGCTTTTGACACAAAAGCTTCGTCAGGCCAAGTGACTGGGTTCCGAGGTTGATCGAGATTTAAGGCGGAAGGAGAACCAATCAGCTAAGTCAAGCTAAATCTCTGTTGGGTGTCGGCCGAGGGATTTTAGTGTGTTAGAGTGGTTGAACAAGTGTTGGGTCGGTGGGGAAACCTACATGTGTTTGGGTCCTGCCTAGGGTCTAGTTCTTCTGGTTCGGTTCATTTGATGGTTCCTCTTGAACTTCGTTTGAACCTTCTGTTAGTCTGTGTGGGTGAGCTAGTGCTAAGAAAGTTGTGTAGGAGGGATGCTGTGACCTTTGGTCGGTTGGGGTTTCCACCCCTACCCCCCGGTTTTTTCTAATGATCCTAAGTGGATTGACAACCACACCGTCACGTGTCAACTCGGCTTATCTAAGACCGCTTTCCATACGCTCGCTAGCTCCACACCCTCGATTCTATTCACGCTGTGATGCTTAGTGATTTCCACCGCCTCGGCTATCAGCCGTTGTGGTGTGAATCGCAGTCCCCGTCTTAAGACTTCCACATTCTCCAGATCTATTCTATGTCCCGTGTCTAAGGCATGTACCGCCATCGCTGAGTCTTTGACCAGCGTTTGGTATTCTTCTGCATTCCTTGGTGGTTTGTTAATCCTTCTTTTATGCTCACCAATTCTGGTGTGCAATTCCCTGGCAGTTTGTCCTATATAAACCTTAGCACAATCGTTGCAGTTAATTTTGTACACACAGTCCCTAGTCCTTTCAGCCGGCAGGGGATCTTTCAATTGCACCAAAACTGAGCGTAGCGTTTTTCCCTTCTGAAAAGCTACTCTAATGTTGGCTAAGTTCAACAATCTTCGAATAACCTCCGATGTTCCTGCTTTATATGGAATGACTGCTGTGCCAATCCATTCTTTACTGGGTCTAGATACTGGAACCAATATCTTCCTTAGTTGTCGTCTAATCAAACTCACTGGGTATCCTATTTCTTGAAGTTTGTTGGTAATAAATCTACCGATTGTCACCAAACTTTTTCGAAAACGATGACTACCCAGTCGGTTTCAAGTATTTTCCACGTGATTGAGCTTGGTAAACACCTTGTTGAGGCTTGAAGATGCCTGAGAATTTTGGTACCACCTGACCTGCAGATGTCTCCACAAAAACAGGTGCAAGACCAATAAAGGTCGTCAGTCCTACTAGAAAGGCTTACAAGGGTGGGTGAGTTTGTAGGAGGGAGAAAAATACGTGAAAGAGAAGGAAGAGAGGCTTCACTAGTATCCCGTTTTCGCTTACACGTCCTACTGATTTCGGCAAGTTAGGTTAACTGTCTGATGTTACCACGCGACGGCTGATGTAACATAAGTGTTTTTTGTGCTTATCTTGGTTGTACGTGTGTTGAGACACTGTTAGGGCTTCCAGTGCTAGACGGACGATTTGGTTCTTCAACCAAAGCTTTTGGCTCATGATCGGTACCACACGGCAGCGGTGTTTGGCGGCAAATTCCAGTGCATTGCATTTTAAAAGGGCAAGTTGTTATTTATGTCCCAACTTCCAACTTGAAGGAACAGGAGATTATGTTGTTCCGAGCCCTGGTATGGGAGGCTGTGCAAGTGTCACACGGACACCCCACCCCGATATATCTTACTGGGTCAAAACCTCTGCATTGTCTCTGGATTCTTAGATGTTCTTTTTGATACCGTTGTTTTCTGTTTGAACCGAGTACAGTGGTTTTCTCTAAAAAAACAATATGACTGATGTAACAGTTTATTTCTCGATAAAGTGCTACATTTTGGTCGATTCTGGTTTGTTTCTTGCTCTACTGAGTTCTGGTCGTATCCGGGCCGATTGGAAGAATGAGGTAACGTAATGCCTCTGCTTTCATTAGAGGCGCGTCTTGATGTTTATGTAATACCGTATATCACATTGAAGGCACATTCGTGATACGTCTGAAAGAAGCTTCGTTATAGTCTGCCTAACTTTGTACATGTTCAGCTCCACAAAGCCGTTTTATTCTTAGCTCATCAGGTTACCCCTATTTGACTCTATTCCGAAGTGCGTACCCACTTTAAACCTTCGTTCAGATATTCTGGGTAGAAATAGATATAATTGGCACAAATTTAATAAATTACTAGGTTAATTCACGTGGTCTTGTTTGTTGTTTCATTGTACCGAAACCAGCACATTTTTCTATCCGAGATTTCTCACTTTTAGCCTATCTATCCAATGTTTACCGAGAATATCCGCGAAAGTATACGAGTGGTACAAATGGGCAAATGTAGGTACAATTTACTCATCGTAATTTCTACTCTCGGTTGACACAGCTTGGTGGTACAGACTTTATGAACGCACTCGACTGCCATTTGCATTGTTCTATGGATACTTCCCGGTAAAACTCAGGTAAGTGCTTGTTCTATGCCTCCTTCAAATACTCCACCTCTCTACAGAACATATATAGGTGAGCCTATCTATCCATTGGAAGGCGAGACACCGGAAGAGTTAGCAGAGCGGGTGAGTTTGTCAGGTTGATTTGTTTGCCATGATTAGCATAACGCCAGTTTACTCGGATTCCCCTGTTCCGTGTTATTCACGGATAAACTGAAAGAGAAACGTAAGCGCTTGGTTTGACAAAGCGTACGGTATTGTTGGGATCTGATTAGCCTCCTCTTCTCAGGGTACACTCATGAGCTACTCGGTGCATTGCATTATTCTGTCGTGGTCTGACATCAACGGTTTCTTTCTATGTACCGGAGCAGAGAGAAACAATTCCCAAGGCTGCTGCTGAGTGATTGTTGTAAGGACCTTTCGTATGCTGATACCATCGTCAAGCACTGCGTATTAATGAAAGCCGAACAGTATTGTGTGACGTGGTCCATTCGCAGTCAGCTACTCGTCAGTGTAAGCTTACAGTTTGCTAGGCGAGGCACCATCTAACTCTACTTACTCTGTATGAAACCTTTGGTAGGCTGTTATCCATTTTTGGATTGGCCCATCACATCGAACTGCGTCGATGTACACCAGCGCACATAGGATAATACCACATGCTGCTTGTGCTGAGCCGCATGCGTATCGACCGGAACACCCCGCATCTTGTGCAAGCCGCGTGATGAACGGGAGAAGGCAGTTTGAGAGCCATCGGTTTACCCTGCTGGGGGCGATACAAGTAGACAGTTGAGCCCCGTAAACATGTAAGAGAGCTTCTGGGGGCCTGCACCAGAAGATGCCTTGTAGGTACACACAAACGGCTAACTGGTGCTGGCCATTATTCAGCTAACGATGATTACAAAAAGTAGCACACTCGTAGAATTAGCACTCTAAGAGTTTGCTGTTAGCATGCTAAAGTACATTTTTTTAAGGCTGAATACCAAATGGTACAGAGTCAGGCTTCACTAATAGCCAAAAAGTATGTATACTATGTAACACTACCGCGCCCCTAGGAAATTTGTTAAGGTGTCTTTACCGAATTATTGCATGGCAGCGTTATCTACCAACCTGGTTTACTTGACATTCAGGGCCACATCCATCTTGTAGATCCATCCTGTAGATCACGGTAAAAAATCATGACATTTTGCGCATTACCGTCAAGTCCGGTTCCTCCAACCATTCGTACTGCGCCCACACACCGTTGAACTGTCGGATCTGTTGGTTTGACGGTCAGGTGAAGGCATTAACCGAGGTACTATTGACGATAAGGTGGAGCTGTTTATGCTGTGCCTTTGGCGTCTAAAAACAGATAAACCAATGACGTAAAGTAATGTGTAGTATTCCCCCTTAATAAGCATCCAAATAAGACGAACTCTGTCTGGTTTCGTGACATGATGCCTAGCGTAGATAACTTTCGAGGACCTAGTTTTTATCTTCCAGCTGGAACAGCCCTGGTTATTCTTGTCATCGTCTTCTGTGGTTCCTCAAAACACTTAAGTTTTCTTGGAGATCACTTCAACGATCACCTCTTCCTAGTAAAGATGCTTTTCAAAAAGTTTGCTTCTCGTTAGTCCGTTTATAGGGGGTAACTCTAATTCGATACACTTGTCCTCTAAGGGAGACAAAAGGTTGTCAGGCTGGCTAGTCTCTTACCCATCCAGGCATTGAAGTAATGGAAAAAAGCGAGATCTTCCGATGTTCTTTGAAGGTTTGTGGATATTATCTGCCTTCCACAGTGGCTCAGATGGTTTGATATCGTGAATCGAAGCTAGTAGCTGAATCCGCGACAACATCGGCTTATTGAGTTGAGGTATTTTGTAGTATCGTCGTCATCGTCACCAACCGAAGCTATCTAGTCCACGCGTTGAAGGCCAAATCATGTACACTCCACCTTGCTTTATCTAATGACATCACCTTTTTCCTGATATCTAATTTGAGATGAGTTATGAACTCTCACGAAAGTGACAACCGAATCATTGGCCCGTTGAGTCCCAACTTCTTCAAAACAAAGTTGGAGCTTTGCCAACAAATACAAGGAAGCCTTCTGTTCAATGACCTCTGTCTTCAAAATGAATCGCTATTAGGCGGTGGCTCAACCTGAAAGTGATATTGGCTTGGGTTCTTTTTGTTTGACAGATTTATTCGTTCTCAAATACTGTAGTTCTGTGCCTCATAAAGACTACCGTGTTCTAAGGCAGATAGTGGTCTTTTTGTGAACGATATTATCGGTGCGAGCGTCTGCAAAATACGTTCAGCGGGTGTTCGGTTGAGTCTTGCGTTAAACCCATTTATTTCGTGAATTTCGTACAATCGGGGTTCAAGTAGAGCATCAGGCTGATAGAAACTGGGGGACTGCCCCTACCTGACATGTCTCAAGAAGAACGAAACCGGCTGTTTAAGACTTTCATAACCCCTTCCACAGCATTCTGCATGTGGCAGGAATTATATGGGTCCTATTCTGTCTACATAACCTATCCACGAGACTTTGGAAGTTTCCATATCGGTATAATCATGTCGGTTTTCTGTATACCCGTCTCCGGAGAGTCCCGTCCCGACTCGGAGTCGACTATACGTCAACAGACTGTAACTTGTCAGTGACCTGACTCCGCTGAATGGGTTAAATTACGTGGTTCTGTTCCTCAGATCAGTATGCACGTTTTTCTTTCCTGAGTCCACTGGACAGTTGTAACTGACATGTGATAGGCTCGTCCTTAATCGCAGTCAAAAGACATGATTATCTCATTTTTCAGTCAAAAATCATTTCACTGGGAGAAAGTTGCAGCAGGGCATCACTGAAGGGTGTGAGTCACAATCAATGCTTGATCCAGGTCCCCGTACACACGCTGTACGAACGTGTAACTCATCTTTGTGTGCATGCCAGTGGCTGACAGCCTAGGGTTAACTTGCGGTCAATGTTCCTTGCAATATTGTCCTTCGCTGGACAAAACGTCATTCGATATAAGGGTAGTTCACCGACTAACTTATCTAAGGAACTATCACCGAATTTCTCCAGTTATCTGGGACAGTCTTCTTTTCCCAAATTCAGGCAAACAGATCAGACAAGCGCTAACTGGGGGCGAGATGGCCTAAGTGGTTGGAGCGCCAATTTACTGACCGGAAGGTCCGTGGTTCGAATCCCACCTCCCCCTCTCGACTTCCCCTGTCTAGGCTTCAGCAACCTGGCAGTATCCCAGCCCTCGTGCTTCCTTCGAGTGGTATGGCAGCTAGGCACCGGAAGGGTGCTACAGCTGAACGCTTTCTTTTCTTTCTTTTCTAACTGAGGACTTCACCCCCATCATTGAACTATGGAGGTGGGAGTGCATCCGGACCCGAAGCTCGGTGGCGCTTGGGAGAACATATACAGTCATAAACCCTGGGGACCTTAGGGGGTTTCACGTTCACCGTCCAGGTTTCTACCTCAACTGTGAGCTCCAGATGAGTGGCAGCAGGTAGCCACGATGACCGTTGTCCGAAGTATTCTACCCAACGGTCGAAGCGTTCTTCATTACTCAACATGGTCATTCCGTTTCGATCCCTGATGGCTTCGCTCACAGATAGTTTCCGGGGTCTGATCACACGGATCAACCGAAATAATCTTCGGGCATTACCAACTTTCTGGGCCTATTCCATTTCCTTGGCTTTCCGTGTCCATCAGACTTCACGGCCGGCTCACACACTTCCACTTGACGTCTGATAATTCGTTGGGTTAAATTGTGTTCGGGATTAGCTGGGATATTCCTCCGAGATTCAAGCAATGCCATTGTTTAGTCTGATATCCAATGCTTCAGTGGTCCTGGTGCAAGGAAGAAGGCCTTGTCTGCGGAGTTATTTATTGGAAAACACCAACTGAACAGTTACAGACTATTGGACAGGGAAGCAAAAGTCTCACATGCATCTTGTTTATAAAAAAATGAATATCCGTCTTCTTTTCGAACGCGTCTTCCTAAACTTTCCTGGATACTCATCAACAGTGAATGAATGCCACAAAGTAATTCCATAAATTCCGTAATAAATCTCACTTTTGAATAGACGCGAAGCGGATTTACGAGAAAACATACTACTTACATGTCTCGTCAGTAGTATCCACCGTTATACTGGTAGCACCGTGCTACAGGCAAGACTCCCAGTACTGTGAAAAGAGGTGGAAATCTCGTCCAAGTATGAATTCACATCTAATGGTGGAGCATTTGGAGGAGACATTGGAAGACGATCCTGATAATTCCGTTTGGCATCAGGGTCTGCCAGCCTCTCACTTGCTAGGCGATTTGTCCGCACCTTACGCGGTCCTGGAAGGCGAAGGGAGAATCGACTTCGGACAAGCGTGTGGTTGAAATCCACAAAGGTGTTCAAAAGGTGTTCAAAAGTGTCCAATATGATCGGTTTGAGTTGTAGGACATTCAAATATTAATATATGAATATATTCGACAACCACCACGATGTACGAGCTTTCAGCTCGCCGCAACATAGAATTCAGGGCGTCGTAAAACTTGTTTTTGATGGTGTCAGAGCTACAATTAGTTGGGGCGTGCCAGACGAACCGCACAGAGGTATACAAACTACCAGACCGCGATACTGTCCTGTCCCTTAGCAGCCGACTTAGCACGATCAGTAAATGTACTGCTCATGTTTGAGCACGATATTAGAAGGTTAATATTACGATCATCCTCTCGCATAGTAGACGAACCAATCGGTTTCGGTTGAGCCGCTGGTTGACAACTGTTCCAACACTCTTTGAACTCCTCGTAGTCGTTCACACACCTCTCAGTGCAGTCACAGGTTAGTTGAACTGTGCGTCCACAAGTAATTGGTGAAGTGACAATGGCTTTCTACTGCGCAACGGCTTATCTAGTCGAATATATCAGCCGTGAGATCCCAATAGAGGCACTAGCTAACATGGATATTTTGTAGCTCATTGAGTCCCGCACAGCGGAGTTACTTGATGCAATCATCTCATCCCCTGGCACCTCCTAGTAACCCATAGGACAGACAAGCTTGCTTGACTTTGGTTCCAATATTGTACCCAGAGCCTCTGCTTTTGAGCAAACTTTCTTAGATTTGTCAATTTTTTTGAGGACTACCCGAATAAT